AAACCACGGTGGACGTTTCGAATTATCGCATGTCATTATAAAATTGTGTTTAAATTGACTTGTTATATGTCTAAACGTCCACATTGATTTGTAAGTTAATCAATAAAATGATAGAAACTCTCGTATCTTTTCCTATCTTTATTTCCACTCTAACTTTATAACAACTAATGATAATATTCCTATTAAAAAAACTGCCTGCCGCCAAGGCATGCGAGAGAGGCTGATGTTTCACTCCGGTAGGCAAAAATCCTACGGGCAGGCTTGCGCAGATATGCAAGGAACCTTGTGAGAGACCATAGAAGACCTGAGCAGCGTTCTGTCGCATAACACTGCGGCATTCAGAAGCAGGCGTCAGTAGGCAGTCTTTTTTTTATAGGGATCCACGGAGATAAAAAACTCTTATATACACTTTTAAAACTATTGAAGAATGATACAGAATGAGAACTAATAGAGACTGGGAGAACCCAGAAAAGCAATGTCTGGAATGTTTTCGACAGAGTGTAACATCTGTCAGAGAAAGGAGTGGTATTTATAACAGCAATTACGCTTGTGGAAGAATTTACAATTCTTACATAACAATATGAAAGATGATACTTGCAGAAGCCTGATGTTAATAATTAAACAGGAAACATACTGTCTACTGGAGTATGACTGACTAGTGCAATCTCTATTCAAAGATCTTTTCTTTGATTATTCGAAATTTTATTCAGAGAACCGTCCAGGAGCGCAACTACGGGGAGGAGTGGGTCACGGTCCAATGATTTATAAAAACTTTTCGGTTTTGTCAGCCAAAAAGATTTTCTTAAGGGCCTAGTATTCTCGTCATACCTGACAATAGTCACCTGACAGTCAGTCATTTTCCTCATTTCGCTGGCAGTTGGCCCAATGGTCAAAAAATCCTGGTTGTGCCATTGGAATCGTCCGTGCACTCTTAAGATTGCAAGTACATGAAATATAGTACTTATGATATTCTACTTTGAGTTGTTTCGACTTTGTGGATATTGAAAACTCATTAAAATCTATTCAAGTTCACGAAAGTGCAAATTCTCCTTTTAATCTCATTGGATTTCTATGATGGATAAATAATACTTTATGCATTCGAATAGGTAAGCATCACAAAAACAATCTAGTATAGAAGAAATGAGTTGATAATAGTACCAATCAAGTATTGAGAAATACTCTCTCTATTCAAGGTGATATTTGAATTTGAGTGCTTCATATTTCATATGATTTTAGATTGATAGAAAATCATTCTCTTTTGAGATTTTGTTAGATCGTAGTAATTTAATTCTTGAATCTTTATCTTGTTTTCAAGTAAAATAATCAAAATATTTCAGACAACAGACTTGTTTTGATCTTACATCGTTTGATTTTCCCACAGTTATATTTGTTTCATAATAATGTTTTAACACACTCCACGGTTTTCCTATATCAAATGGTCCTCGTCGTCCAATTATATATGGTCGAATTCCCTTTCTATACAAATATCCACTTATATAAACATCATCATGCAATACACAACCACCAGGCACATTTGTATAATCAAATATATCCTTATCAAAATAATTTCGTCGATAGGCCACAGAAGCATATGCTGCTAGAAATCCTTCGCATTTTCCACGTGTAGATCGCCAACTCCATTCCTTTGTTAATACCCAATATTTTTCACAGACAAATGCCGGTATCAAGTGGTGAGGAAGGTGAATGATTGTTCCAATAAGATAGGCAAATGTTGATCTATGATAAACACAATCATCATCAACAGTGATTAGAATTGTTTGAGAATTATTTTCTAGATGTAAACTTCCTAATAGTTTTGTAGCTGGACCATAATCTTTTGTATAAACAATTTTTAATTTTGGTTCATATTTTTTAATTAATCGATCTAAATTAGTCGGTATGACGAGATTATTATTTAACTTATGATCAAAACGTATTAGTTCTGTTGGAATATTAATATAAACAACGTCTACCTGAAATGTTTGCTCAAATAGACTATGAATTGTTTTATCTAAATGATTTAGTCGAGAACTGAACGATGATAATGAAACAACAACACGAGGAATAATATTGTGTTTATCTAGTTTTGTTATGTCATGTACATAAGTATCACTGGATGATGCAATTTTAGAATAAATAACGTCCGAATATAAAATATAAAGTAATGAATGATATTGAATACAGACGACAGTAAATGATATGATAAAAATTACGATCAAAAGTTTGTTAAATTTGAATGATAAAACTTTAGTAATTATGGGTATCAATATCATTGCTAATTTTTTTTAAAACTAAATAATAGATAATATAGATCAGTTTTAGTTTTGAAAGTACTTTTTTTATAAAACGAAGGATAAAGATAATTACTAATAAATAATTCATTCTTTATATTTGCAAGCTTTCGTTCAACACTTGTGAAAACAGCTTGCAAACATAAACAATGAATTATATATTAGTAATAGATAACATTAAATAAGGTTGTATTATTTATTATGTTCATTTTATTACTAAACAAATGTTTTATTACCGGAGTTTAGTTCAGTTGAAGTATGAGACAAAGCTTAATAACACTATGCCACTGAAAAAATGACTTTTTTGTGTTTTTTATCTCTTGAAGTCAGTTTTGAAGTTTGTTGACAGTCTTATTTAAAATGTTTTACAATTAGTTTGTCATATATTATAATACACTTCTTTATCATTGAACTAGAAGAAAACTTGTGACGCATAAGAATTATGGTTCTTTAAAAAAAAAACAGGTTAATAAAGAAAAAAAAAGTATTCTATTAGAAGAACATCTTTTTTTTCTATTCACTTTCGACAGATTACCTTCTTTTTCTCTATTGTAAAAGAAATGAGGTTTATAATTATATACTCATCGCTAGCTTTTCTCGGATTCTTCTTTTTAGATTTTCTCTTAAGAAACGTGATATAATATACAATAGATGCTTACACATAATTAATATTAATAATAAAGGGTGTTAGTACTGAGTATAGTATGTAGAAGAAGAGAAAATGTTAAATGTTTTTTTAATATACAACACATCAGTTTTTTTTTTCTTGTCGCATGTAATAAAACACGATGTTCTTTGTATAATTTTTCCATAGGAGTAAACAGCAAATGACTTAGAAAAAGTTCATTAATCAATACTTCGTTTATAATAGAGAATTAAGATAGAGAATTTTTCACTAAAAAACCAAAAGTCTAAAATTGCCCTATTATTTCTTTAGCTACTAGATAGGTTTGTTGAGTATATATTCATTTTCTTTTTTCTTTTATTCAGAATGGCCCATAGAATAATATTCTATTTAGAAAAATGAGAAACAAGTACAATAATACTTCTAAGCAAAATACATAATTTCCTTTTCATGCGAAAATCTTTTTGCTTAACTCCTATGACTAATCTGAAGACTGAGAAGATACTGTTATATATCCAAAACCCTGTGAAAATGACAAATATTTACCCGCATTCCGCTTCTCCCTAGCGAAAACGTCTTAAAATGTGTGTATAATGTGATATTGTTCGTGTGTAGGATGTCTTAAAAAAAGGTGGAGAACGCAAAAGCAGCTTATACAGAACGTCTTATTTCAAATATGTAGGGTGTCTTAAGATTTTCGTGTGTGTTTTATTGTATCTCCATCTCACTCGCATAAAGCGAAAAAGTCTTAAAATATTATCGCTTTTTTAACATTTACAGAGGAGTTACACATTTTAGCTCTAACAGGAACTGCGCTGACAAGCTTTACTTTTTTATTTTTTTACATATAGCATATGTTTCTGTAGCCTATCGAAGAAAAGTATTTTGATAAGAATATATTTGATTACACAAATGTGCCTGGTGGTTGTGTATTGCATGATGATGTTTATATAAGTGGATATTTGTATAGAAAGGGAATTTAACTGTGGGAAAATCAAACGATGTAAGATCAAAACAAGTCTGTTGTCTGAAATATTTTGATTATTTTACTTGAAAACAAGATAAAGATTCAAGAATTAAATTACTACGATCTAACAAAATCTCAAAAGAGAATGATTTTCTATCAATCTAAAATCATATGAAATATGAAGCACTCAAATTCAAATATCACCTTGAATAGAGAGAGTATTTCTCAATACTTGATTGGTACTATTATCAACTCATTTCTTCTATACTAGATTGTTTTTGTGATGCTTACCTATTCGAATGCATAAAGTATTATTTATCCATCATAGAAATCCAATGAGATTAAAAGGAGAATTTGCACTTTCGTGAACTTGAATAGATTTTAATGAGTTTTCAATATCCACAAAGTCGAAACTCCAGTGGATTTTGTTGAACTTCAGTGGGCTTTATTGGACTTTAAGAATCTACCAGAGTGCACTAAATGCCTACAGACTATCGTGTAATGGAAAATCATCTCATGTTGTTGTACACACAACATTCACCTTCTGTGTAGATTGACTTTTGCAGTCGAAAATTTGAGCTTCAGTCAGCTTCTTTTTCCTGCAGAAATTGCTGCTAGTGCTAAAGAATGCGGTCAAGGAATGTTTATAAGCCGTCAAAAGCCATAAGAAAAGGTTCCAATGGAGAGTACGTTATCTGTATTGAACCAATCTTTTGAAAATTTTTGGAATCCTGCGTAACTCATTTCTCAGAAAGATGGAATCGGAGACTAGTGTTTTGTATATTTTATGAATTATTTTAAAGTATATCTTGTTTGTTATAATCATAACCACATTTGTCACGAACATGTACATCTGGTTTGTTTATTTGCAAGGATAAAACCCTGACGTACAAGAAATTGTTTAGTTCGTCATTCTTTTTATGGACTGTTAAAGAATAGATTTTTATATTAAATTTTATATTAATTAGTTCCTTTACAATAAAATTATGTGGAAACATCAGTTCACAATTCATTGAATTAATTTATAACCTCCGGTAGAAGCAATCAGGCTTTGATTAAATTATTGTCAATCAATACTTCTCAAAACTTTCAAAGGCTGGAGTATTGATCAATAAATCGTTGCCCTTCGCATCTCTATAGAGGGCATAGTAACACAATTCAATTAATTAAATTCCTATACAACATTTATAATGATTTGTATACTGAAAAAGATTCGATTTTCGACAATTTATTTAGATTTGGTCAAAGCCTTCAACAAAGTTTGATATAAGACTCATATATAAATTTGAGAAAACTGGAGTGAAGGTAAATTTGCCTCATGGATTTGGTAGTTTTTGTTTTTAGATAAGTCGATCTTTACACTCGTATGAGGTTAGGTATCAACACGATGGAAAATTATGAGTTTACTTATAACGTCATCGTTTTTCTTTTCTCTCTACTCAGTTGCTACTTATTCTCATTTCTTATGTCAACACAGAACTGACATCACCTACCCTCATCGTCCATAAACGAACATTTTATAATCGTGGAGTTTGTCAGGAGGGTGTACTTCTTTATTACTCCTGATTTTTATTGATGATTGATGTGCTATAAGTGTGACCTTTGAACGTGATTTAGAAAATAACATTTCGATCAGTGAGGATGCAATGAAAACTTCAGTTCGAATTTGAGAAGGTTAAAAATAAATGAGTTGGTTCGTTACAAGAAATATATATAGAGTTGGGTCTTTTGACACACCCTATGATAGACTTAACTATACTCAATTGCGCATCTGGCAGACGCACCAATGTTTTAAAGAGGATTGCTCTTTCAAATTTTAAATTTTGATGATTGATTATAATTGACCTGAAAAAGATCGTTACTTGTTCTATGCTTATATAATTTACCCTGTAAGAAAACAACAAAAAAGCATGCGCTGTTATTGTTGAAATCTGCAGTACCGGTAGCGAGATCAGAGCTCAACAAATAAGACGGATCGACCTATCCGCTAGTTTCGTTTTTTCGAGCTGCATATTAGCTTGTTTTATATCTATTATTGTACAGATCCCACACAGACACTGTTCGATCGTCACTGACTCATACCATTTGTTGATTATCATAAGCAACATCGATAGTATTCACTTGTTGTCGATGTAGATCGAACATGACCAGTTGTTTTCCAGTTTCACATCGGAATAATCTTACTCGGGAAACACATCGCGCTACGGTAACCAATTTTTCATTGTCTGGTCGACATCGTATCGCATTAGTACCGGCATTCGGCATTTGCATTTGACGAAATGTTGAGGTCAATTGTAGTCGCATCAATGAAAAATTCGATGATATGAAATCTGTCGTCATTGTCCCAGACAGATGTTTGTTTGTTTATTTGCAAAGGCTTCAGTGCTAGCCAAAAAAAAAAGTAGAGCAAAAAGAGTAAATTAAGTTGATATAAGACGTGTACAGTTAAGAACAAAAAAAAGTATGTTGATACGAACAAATCTCTCTGTAATTAAAGATAGAAAACAGTACATGGAAAAGGCGAAAAAACAGCATTTCATTTCTTGAGAATAGCATGCTAAGTGTGTATAGGTGATTCCAGAAAAGAAGAAAACCCGAAACATTTATATTTTTCGCAGCATTAATTGAGATAAAAAGTTACATTAGGCAATTTTGTCACAAACAATTAAGACAGAAAATTCGTATTTACACATATGTAGAAGTACAAATTCGAATAAGCAATAAGAAACAAAAAGGAGATCGTGAGTATAAGAATACAAAAGTAGGTAAAGGTGCTAAGAAATTAGGATCTTATGAATGCTTCCGAGTATTTAAAAAAAATATTGATTTCAGGTGCTAGTTTATCAAAAGCTTTTCGAAAGAAATTAAAGGACTGTTTGTACTCGGCAAGGAATGTATGACAGTGAGAAAAAATATGTACGTAATTATTAGCGTATAGACGTATTTGATGGTTATTTTGTCTAAAGCCAGCTTGTTGAATGGATAAATCAGTTTTGTCTGTACATAATAGTCGATATGTAATCCACAATTCTGATAGTGAAGAAGAGTCAGTAAAGCGAGGAAACAGTTTAAGATATTTATACCAATATGAATAGACCCGATCTAAAAATGTCGCTCGCCTGCCAGTGAAAAAAAAAGATATTTATCAAGGTAATCACAACCATACACTTTTCTAAGATAGAAAGCAAATAAATTATGATGTCTTGTTGTTGATTGTCCGTTAGGTAGAAGAAAATTAGGACAATCCAATTAAGATATGGGTAAACGAATGCAAAGAAGACTCTACGACAAAGAGTAATAGATAGTAATCCAAACTGTTTAAATAGAGAGTAAACTGTACGAAAGGCTGTTGATAGATTAACACGTTGTTTATTTAGAAGTGTGCCAGTAGCTAATCTTGTCGTAATATTGTAACACAGATAGGTAAAAGTTTTAACACATCGAATTGGATTCAAATTATAATTTAGCTCGATCAATGGAACTGTAATTTGAGAGTGCACAACTAGAACAACCGTCTTCTTAGTATTAAGTTCGATTTCACAATAAACTTTCAGACTGTCTAATAATTTTTGCCCATATTCTTGTAAATATTTCATTGATTCTTGAAACGCCATGCCAAGAGGGGCACATAAAAAGGCAGCCAAATAGTCGGCATAGAAATGATTATCTGCATTCAATAAAAAAGGAACTATATCCGCAATAAAAACGGCAAATAAGATGGCGGAGAGAATTGAGCCTTGGGGTGACCCCCATTCTAATGGAAAGGAAATTGATGTAGAGCTGTCAAAGGAAACGAAAGCCGACCTATTCGATAACCAACTGTAAATCCATAGCCATAACTTAGTTGGAACTGAGTAACGAGCCAACTTAATCAGTAATGCATGGTGCCAGATTCGATCGAAAGCAGAAACAAAATCTATAAATAAAACTAATCCTGGCCGATTTGTGGCTAGAGCTGATTTAATCTGTTCTATCAATAATAATACCCGCGTTTGAATACGAATCCTGGTTGAAAGCATGTTTGACAATCCGAAATAATATTGGAGTCTAATACCCATTTCTGGAGATGATTATAGAAAATACGTTCGTATAATTTTTCGATGGAATTCAGTAACGAAATTGGACGAAGTTCGGATAACAATGGGTAGTGGCCATTTTTGGAAAGTATACATAAACGAGCAATTTTTGCACACTCTGGAAACCTATTTAGTGAAAAAAGACGATTAAATAATACTGAAAACAGTGCTG